TAGGACGAATAACAAATGTCTCCAAAATGTCCAAATGATTATCGCGTTTTTCGCGTGCTTGCCGAATACGTGTCCGGAGAAATTGTGAGCGCGCCGCCACCATAGCTATATGCGCCGGTATTTTGGTCTCCGACTCGCCCACTATGAATTCTACATCACAGAAAAGGCGCATATTCAGCAGCTTGCCAAAATCGTCATGTAACGTGCATTTAGGGTATGACGAAAACTGAAAACGATACATCTCAGCAGAGCGTATGTTGTTGTCTATAGTTCCCCCAAAAATGAACATCGCGTCTCCGATTACGGCAGCTGCGTGAAAAAGTCGACCAGGCGGTACCTGCGCAAATATATTATAAAATATATATTACAAAAATGAGATCTATATTTATTACATTCTTATATAACATCATTAAAAAGAAACTATATTCGCGAACATGTTAAGGTAAAGCCAAATTAAGGAAAAAGTAAAGAAATAATAAATAATGAATAATAAACGAATAAATAAACAAATATGTATAGCGGCTTAGGTATGAATACATCCAAATTTACATCAATAAATACATTTTATATTTTAATAATTCATCAAAAGAGAAAAACGCTCTTTATACTCTATTTCTGTCTGTTGTATTTATTTGAGATTATTCATTTTTACTAGCTTAAATTTATTTTTACGGATCGTCTACCTGACTATCCGTAGATGGTAGGATAATGTTCCATGTTTGCGTGTCGAGATCATAACAATGGAGATCATTGGATAGAGCCGAATCAGCTGCACCACCAAAAACATAAAGATGACGATCAAAACTGACCATTGTGTGACCGTATCGTCGTGCGGGTGGCGGTGGTGCGCCACGTAATATATGTTCTGTTGATATGCGTGTCCATCTAAAAAAAGAGAAATTAACCGAATGTGATTCAAATGGATACATATCGCAATTTGTATATGTTATAATGAAATTTACCGTCTTTCCTTGAAATGAAACTGAAAGAGACTGTTGGTTGTTCTAGCCCCGCTCTGACCGCTAAAAACAAACATAGATTCCCGGGCTACCGCGACAGGAAAATTGCAGCATGTCGGTGGACGCTCACCGATCTGAACAACTTCCTCCCATGTTTTGTAATCACCAGGCTAATAACAGATGTTGAGTGAATAAAATTAAAATCAAATGTATCTGCATTATGATTATATAAACTTAATATTATGTATTCATTGTATATCTTATGAAGGAGATTTAGATATAAAGTACATAAAACCCATCTTTCCTACCAATAGTGATATTGTCCACATATCATTCAATCTAGCATTGCCATCATAGCCTGCGAAGATCCATAATTTATTGTCATATACAGCAGTGCCATGAGCAGATCTAGGTACTGGAGTCCTATAAATATATTACAGTGGAATGAATTCAATAACAAACAGCAAGAAGAAAAACTAAGGTTATTTGATAATCATATCAGTTTAATTTATCACTTTTAATTTATTATTTTTATCAAATTTGTTATAATGTTACCTGTACAATACTTTAAAAAAGAATAAATTACATAATTTATTAAAACTTTAAAATTTCAAAAACATAATCATTCTCAAATATTTCCTATTTTCAAAAACAAAAGACAAAAATATTTTAGTTGGTAAGAATAAATGGTTCACTTTGTATATAAAGTACTTGCACTCCAACAAATCTCCACTCTGTCCACTGGCCGGTCTGGAAGCGATATTCAAATAGATCGTTCTTATTACTAAGATTGGAATTAGAATGTATGTCCCCGGTGTATCCGCCGAACACAAACATCGATGAACCATGGATAACCGCAGAATGATGATAGCGTGGTGCAGGCGGAGTGCCAGTTGCAAATGCTCTACCCCAAGACTTTTCTTTCACGTCAAAGCGCAACAAATCGTTCAGCATTCTCTTACCATTGTCGCCACCAAAAACATAAATCGCATCCTTGTATGCCACGATAGTATGTTTGCTACGTCTGATAAAAACAGAACAAGAGATTTTCAATCAATCACTTCCTTAAATCTATTCTCGAAATTTAATAATAATAATAATTGGAAGTATAACTTGTATCAAGTATATTTCGTTTCAAATTATGTTAACAGCACAAAACGACGGAAAGTAGATACGGATAGACGCCGACCCTGATAACTCCCTACCTGGCGCCGACAAACTCGTCGCATTCCGGCATACGTTGCCATCGGTGCACCGTCTCGAACGGGCCAAAATCTAGGGTCAGGCACTCGGCAGTAGCCACGTTATCCATTTTTGCACGAACGTAGCGTCGTCTCATTCAACGGAATATTGGTCGGACGGATCTTATCCGTGGATCTTTCCTTAACCTATGACACTTCGCGTCAACATATCTGCTTCGCCGAGGGATTCGATGACAAGCAGGAACGGCACGCCGATGGAACGTCCGTTGATTTGTGATTGCGCACCGAGAAACGGTCGGACCGCCTTTCAAGCCATCATACGGAACTTAACGCGCTCCAAAATCGCTCCGCTTCTCCGCTGGAGCGGATGCATGAACGTCAAAAACATATGTATGCCGCGCGTGTCAGAGGAATCAATATAGGAACCGGCATCCGGCATCCTTCCCTGTCTTTCCCTCTCACTCTCCCTCTCCCCCCACGCGTCCGCCATCGTGATGTAAAAATGCTTGTCCTTTCCTCCGCAACATGCTTGCACCGCCATGCACGTCGGCATCAATGAAATTTTGCATATATAGCTACTTGAATTATATAGATACGAGAGATTATTGAAAGATCCGGTTGCATGATATTGTAAGAAATAGACGACTGTAAGCGGTCATGAGAGAGAATATAAACAGCTAACAGAGGGGAGCCGTCGCGGTCGTGCAAATTAAG